TTTTTTTTTTGGATTCTGTATATATGTGACGTGTAATAAATGATTAATTTTAAACTTTACTCGGTGTCGTAGTAGAGCATATAAATCTGAAATTTGAAAATGCTATAAATACGTTTTATAAAAGTACATTGTTTTCGAGTAAATAAAAAACAACATTGCTTTCCAATTTATTCTCTTCATTTTAATGACTAAATTTTCTGCTGAAGAAGAAATGACAATTGATTTAAAACATGTTTACTAGGTGCAAATGAAAAAGAGAATTAGCAAAAGTTATGTTGCTAAACCGTTGTTATTGTTGCTTTTTTTCCGGATTCAGTGTAATTTTAAAAAGAAGACGTTTAACCTGAAGTTTCACCACTTTTTTCAGCACTGTTATCAGCGATCAACGGTGCAAAAGTGATATAGTTTTTGCTGTTGTTTTTGTTGTTAGCTATTGCTTTTCTAATGTTATGCATAATTTATCATACATCCATAAATGATAAACTAACTTTTTTTTTCTTTTTCAACCTACTTTACTGGTAGGTCAATATTGTGCCGCACTCAGTGGTGAAGTGATGTGATCTCTGAATAATGAGTAATAGATCAAAGAAAGAAAAGTAAATTTTACACATTTCTTTATTTTAGTATTGCTTTTTTCCACCAAATTTATTTTATTAACACCAAAATGCACCTTGTGAGCGGTCTAATGATACCATTAATACCATATTAGCAACATCCCTTTATTTTCTAACTTTGATCTTACCTGATACTTTCTGGTCTATGGTCAACAGCAGAAAAAACATATGGCCTTTAAATTAAAGTTAGTTTTTTGCTTGATTTAATGCAGAAATAAATTTTTCATTTTACTCATTTGCACAGGCAAAATTTCCTAGAATACATTATTTTGTATATCTTTTTCTCTTCTTTTTTTTTTTTTTTTACAGCTTTTTTATCTCCAAATGAAGCAGAAACGAATAGCTGAGAAGTCTTCAGAAATTTCAAAAAATATTTGTTTGCTGAGCTAGAGTAACCCAAAATTTCAACGGAACTATACTTTTTTCCTGTACCACCTCTATGTTTCTTGTTATACCTCTCGTTTTGGTAGCTTTTTTTTCTTGTCTAATTTAAGAGATTTTTGTTGGGAGCGGTGTAAACGAAAATAATGAAGGAAACATTAGCTAAAATAATTGGTTGAAGATCTTGGAAATAGAAAAGAACAAAATACTGAGCTTAGAGGTCAATTTTTTTTTGTCTTTGACAAGGAAAACTATTAAAGGGTATGAAATGTAAAAAAAAAGGTTTTTTTTTGACTAAAAATAAAACTTCTAAAAGCTGGAAAAACTTAGAACTAGTGCACATCTATATGTTATAATGATTTAAAATGGCTAACTAATTGCTGTTGCACTACTTCGTATTCTAAGACAAAGTATGTAGGACAAATCTTATAGGTAGAAGACGATAAGCTGTTCACTTTTTTCAATTTTATGTTCTATTAAAATGTCATAAATCTGCTAAATCATAGATCACAAATTCTTAAAATATTTTGTCTTCTGATGCTAGAGCAACTTTTGGCATCACTTTTCATCCACATTGAATTTTCTGCAAAAAAACCCTAAGAGCGACCTTAAATAAGAGCATAAACAATTTCAATGTATAGACATTTTTTTTTAATATACATTTTTTTGAGCAAATTTAAAAATTGCAACTTAATGACATCAGGGAATGAAAAAAATGACGTAAAAAAAAGCAGTTATCTTACGTTGGAATAGTTAATTTGTACAGCATAAAAGTACCAGGTATAAGGCAGAACTTGAAAATTTTAATCATAATTTTAAAAATTGTTTTTTTCAGTTTTTGTTTCTTTTTTTTTAACACGCAACAAGTAAACAAATTCTATACGCATATTAAATATTTGAAACATAGAAGATTACAAGCATAAATAAAACACACTAGACAGGTGTTATTGTCAAAGAAATTTTTTGACGTTATAAACACGAAAAAAAAAAAAAGCACAATTCTTTACTAGTTTAAAAAGGTGAAACTGAGGTTGCAAACAAAATATAAAAAAAGAAAAAAGGCATCAAAGGGTGGAGCAATAAAATAATGTAAATGTGATATAAAAAGTAAAAAGAGAAAAAATATAAACATAAATTTTAACTGATTGTCTTATACTTATTAAAATCATCTGTAAAAGGTATATGCATACATTTGCATACATTTTTTTCATTTTTTGGGGAATCATTAAGCAGTTATTGTTTGATCACTATTTAGCTCATTTCTTTTTTTTCTACATTACTTTTTCTTCTTCTTTTTCTTCATTTTTTAACAAATTTTAAGCTATAGAAAAATGTAGACTGAAATTATCAAAACCACTATAGTATTTAACAATTCAATTTAATTTTTTTTCAGTTAATCAACAAGTTTGCTTCTTTTTGACTACTCAAAAATTAATCTAATCTTTACACCTTCTTTTATCTTTTCTTTCTGTTTCTTTCTGCTTACTACACTTAAGTTGCTTGTCACTCTTCTTCTTTTTTTCTCTCTCTTCTTGTTTATTTTTCTTTATTAAATATTTTTTTATTTATTTTCATATAAACAAAAAAAAAAAAGTATAAAAAGGTGTTTGTGCCAGACGTGTTTTTTCTTTATTTTTTTTTTTAGATCTTAAAGTTAATTTTACCCAACTTTTCAACAGTAATAATTGTGCTGATGACAGGAAAAAAAAGATCAGTTTGTTGACTGTTTTTTGTCTCCTATTTTGTATTTTATATTTCAATGTCATATTTAACAACATTTATGCAGCTTGGTTGTATTTTAAAAATCAAAAAGTAGTTTCCGTAACTGCTGTTGTGTAAACAGTTTAGCATTTGAATTGGCTAATAAAGTGTTAAAAAAAAATTTGTCTCTTTTCTTTTTTTTTCTTTACTTAATTTTGAATAAATAGTTGCAATTAGATTTTGAAAGTTTTCAAAATATGATTTTTCTCCTCTCTTTTTATTTAATCAACTTACCATTAAACTGTTTGTTCATTTTTAAAGTCAGAATTTTTGATTTTTTTTATTGATACGTTCAGAAGTGATCGAAAAATGTTTTGCACAATTTCTCACTTTGGTATTTGTGCAAATTTATTGATAATATTGTGGCTGCAAATAGCATTGCTTAGTAATTTTGATAAAAAAAAGGAAAGATTAAAAATTTTTCCTGCTCATTAGTTTGTTACACATAAGTAGTTTTAAAGTAAAAAGTAAATTACATTTTGTAAAATTAGAAAAGCTTTTTTTTTAATTCTAACATCTTCAATTCTACAGTTTTCAATTATATGCAGCAGTTACTGCTTGCTCGGTCAACTAAGTGAAACTGAACAATCAAGTATTTCTATAATACGACTTTAGACCATGCTCAAACGATGACTAGACTTTGATGATAACTTTTATAATTGATTTGTACTTCTTTAATGTAAAATTTTTTTTAGTACTTTTGTTTAACAAACAGTTTTGAAGTTGGCAATAACTGATGTGTTTTTGTAAGAATACTTCAATTCTAATCAGTAATATTCAATTTTTTTCGCTTTTGCAGAATTATGTGGGATGAAGAAACGCTTAAATGTCTTCAAATTATTGAGCCACCAACCGACAATAAACGAATTTTAGTTGGTTCACTTTATCTAATTTTTACAACTATGTCGATGTTGCTAAACATATTGTATTTGATTATATGTTTTTTTATCTGGAGAACACTGAAATCCAATGTAATTTATTTGCTATTACTTTCACTATCTGTTGTCAATGTTATTTATTTATTGTGCAACTATTTGCTGCTAATACCATGCACATATTCTACCTGTCAATTCTATAACGACTTAGTAGTTATACTGCTTGGCGTACTAAATACATTAGGTTATTATGGTGAACTGTTTATCAACTTTACAATTGCGGTTATGCGAATAGTATATTTTGCCGACAAAAAATTTTTTGATCATAAAGGAAAATCTTGGTTTGTTCTACTGTTTCCATGGTTTATATCAGCACTTGTTGTTATCATCACAAATTCTGTAGGATGTTATAAACGGTATGTAATTGACCAGTTGAATTTAAGTCTTTTACTTTTAGTCTGTTTATAAGTTTTTTAAAAAACCTATTTTTTATTTAGTGTACAACTTTTTTGTTTTTTCAACTATAGCATTAAAAAGCAGAGAAAAAGTTACTGATTGCTACCAAAATAGCGGTTATCAGTGACAGGATGACCATTGTTATAGAAGTAAAAAGGCATATTTGTTAATTGATATCTTAAAGATGGTTATCAAATTCCGTCTTCTGTTTCAGATATAACTTATATACGTTTTCATACACATTTGCATGTTCTACCTGTATGTTTGTACCAAATCTTTCAATGTTTATGCTACAATTTTATACCAGCCAAGCAGTTGTTGCCGTAATGCTGATTGGATATCTTATAGTTATTTTTTTTCATGTATACCTTAAAATAACGATAAAAACAACACGCCGAACAGCTGATCGTTCAGGTTTAGTATTGGTTAGTTAATAAGTGTTTTATGCTTTGTCAAAATAACTAATTTTGTCAAAGAACAATAACAATAATAACCAAGAAGTGATTAATAATCTGTATATTTTACTTCAAGAATGATGGCAGCGGAATAATATTATAACTTTTTAGTCATTAATTTTTGTAAAAAAAACTCCATGATAATACGTAATTTTCAGTAATCGCTGTTTATTCTAATAGTTTTTTTCAGACACTTTCACTGCTGTTTATCTGCTCATTTCAATGGTTAAGCTCATTCCTATTTTTCGTCTTGAACTCGTTCGCAGATTTGTCACTACTGGTGTCTCG